ATAATTGTTTTACTGCTAATTTGGTTTTTCATTTCTGTTAGTACTTGTTTTATATAACTGGGTGCTCTGGAATTTGGTGTATGTGTATTTAAGATTGTTATCTCTTCCTCTTGAAGTTTTCCCCTAACCAGTATGTGGTGACCTTCTTTATCTCTTTTGATCATTATTGGTTTAAAATTCACATTGCCTGCAAACAGAATAGCTACCCCTGCTTTTTTTTTAGGTACTCGTTCCGTGAAGTATTGTTTTCCATCCTTTGACTTTCAGTCTGTGAGTATCCTTTTGGGTTAGATAGGTTTCTTGTAGACAGCATATGATTGGATTTTGTTTCTTGATCCATTCTGCCAGTCTGTTTCTTTTAATTGGTGCATTGAGACCATTTACATTAATGGTTATAACTGTTTATATGTTGGTTTATTTTTGACATGTTATCTTTCTGCTGTTGCGTCTTTATCTTTCTGTTCTGTTTAATTGTCTGCTTTGCTTCGTGGTTTTTCCCTAAGTGTATCTAAACTGTCTTTCAGTATTCTTTGCAGCATTGGCTTGGTGATCATGAAGTTTTTCAGCTGTTCTTTGTCATAGAAGTATCTTATTTCTCCCATTGATTTTGAAGAACAGCTTTGCAGAATACATCAGTCTATGCTGGAAATCATTTTCCTTTAGGATCTGAAATACTTCACTCCATGCTCTTCTTGACTTTATTGTTTGTGTTGAGAAGTCTGTTATAGTTCTGATAGGCTTTCCTTTATAGGTGATATGTCTTTTTTCTCTGACAGCTTTTAATATTCTATTTTTTTGGTTATGGCTATTTGGAGTTCTGTATACTTCACTGATCCTGATATCAGTTTCCAATCTCATGTTTGCAAAATTTTCAGCTATTACTTCTCTAAATATCCTCTTGACATCCTTTATGTTGTCCCCTTCTTTTTCACTTATCCCTATCAATCTTACGTTGTTTTTCTTTGCATCATCTTGCAGCTGTTGAATTGTTATTTCCTGATTTCTTGTTATTTTTAAAAGATCTTTCCTTTCCTGTTCGCTAGCTGCAATCTTGTCTTCGAGGTCTGAAATTCTATCTTCACTTTCATTGAGGTGGTTTTTACAACTCTCAATGGAAGTTTTGATTTCCTGTATATCTCTTTGCATCTGCTTTTTGTATCGTTTGTTTCTTTTATTGTTCATCTAGGCAGTCTATCTTTTTGTTTAGTTCCTCCAGTTTTTTAACTGTGTCTTCTTTAGATATGTTCAGCATCTCCCATTTCTTTTATGATTTCTTCTTTTATCTAGGAGATTATTTCTAGTTTGAATTCCTTTAAAGCTTCCCGGATTGCTTCTTTATTTCAGTTGATATTATGTCTGATATTTCTGGTGTATGGCATATATATTCTTATGTACATAGCTCCTAAGGTTTTTTCGCATGAGCTGGAGGTTTGAGATTGTAATTTGGTCTTTCGTTTTGTCGTTTTCGTATATTTCTGTGTTTCAAGTGTTATTCCAAGACTTTCCCAGGGCCTGTTGGAAATCCTCTTCTATGCCCTAAGCTCCTGGGACTCTGGGCACTTAGTTCCCTGGATTGAGAAAGGGTCACTGGGGCTGAGGCAGGCTGGCTCAGAGCTGGCCGAGCTTGTCCAGTGCAACAGGAAGCCATGAAATTTGCTGTTCGGTGCCGAGCGAGTATCCCAAACTAGCTGGGCTCAGGGGATATTGCGATGACACTTACCCCAGGCCACCCAGCCTCCGGAACCGATGGCACTGGCAAACCCAGAACTCCAGAGTTGCCAAACCCGGTAGGGAGCGGCGAGACCTGTATAGGCCGGTTCAAGACCGGCTGAGCTGGTCCAGTGCAACAGGAAGCTGCGAAATTCCCTGTCTGGGGCCGAACGAGTGTCCCAAACTAGCTGGGCTCCTGGGATGGTGCGGGGACACGTACCCCAGGCCGCCCAGCCTCTGGAACCAATGGCATTGGTAGGCCCAGAACTCCAGAGTCTGCCAAGCCTGGCAGGGAGCAGTGAGACCTGTACAGGCCAGTTCAAGACCTGCCAAGCTGGTCCAGTGCAACAGGACGCAGTGAAATTCTCTATCCAGGGCTGATTGAGGATCCCAAGCTAGCTGGGCTTGGGGGATGGTGCGTGGAAACTCACTCCAGGCCACCCAGCCTCTTGAACTGATGGCACTCGAATGTGATGTTTTCATTAAGATTGTTACATGAGTTTGCTGATGATATCTTTATGATGGAGTATTAATCGTAGCCTTTTTGTTTGCTTATTCTTTTTTGCTTTCTTCACTCTCTGCCTTCAATACAGAAGATTTTATTCACTTATTTATCTATTTATTTATTTTGAGTGCTGGAGATCAAACCAAAAGCCTTGTGTGTGCAAGGCAAGAGTGCTACCAATGAGTCACATCCTCAGCCTGCGATATTTCTGTTGTTAAGTGTATTTCCAGTTGTTATTTTTTGGTGTTTTTGTTATTAAATGAATGTTCTTGTATATATGAATTTAACATTGTTATTTTAATTGTTTATTAACTTACTGAATTATTTGGAGTAGTTTTGAGATGCAATTACATGCAAATCATAATATTTCTCCTTTTTCATTCTTTTCATTGGGATTGACTAGTACCTCTGTCTAGTGCATCTTTTATACCTCTATCTTTACTCTTTAGCTGCCATCTTGTCTTTGGGATAGGAGACGTACATTTTATCATGTTAAGAAAAGATTCCCTGAATTCTTTTTTTGAAGGCTTTTATTACAGATAGGTAACATTATAAAAAATGCTGTCTTCATGTTTATGTGGATAATTATAGGATTTTTTCATGGCTCTGTGATATAATGAAGTGCACTAATTTCTTAATATTGAACTTTTCTTTATTCCAAGAATAAATATTAAAGTCTATATCTGTTCTCGTGATCTTTTTCTATTCCTCAAACTGAAAATTACTATTTTGTCACATTCCGTACTTGTTTTTATTTTTCTTTCAATCTTGTAGATTCTTTTGAGCTGTTTTTTATCACTGAGATGGTTTCACTGACCATGGAGGTTCTGCTGCTTCTTAATCTTCAGCCTAAATCTTCCTGCTGAGCTCTAGCTCATATATTTTAGTACCTGTTTGGTTTTCCTGCACACTTGATCACAGAAATTTCAAACACTGTGTGTAAGATCGATTTAACTTCTGTCCATTGTGTTCATTGGCATCTCCCCCAATTTTAGATTATAGCACAAGTTTGAACCCGTGCAAACAATTTGGAAGTAGACTTCCATTTTCAACCTAAACACAACCAATTAGTATCAAATTGTAGTCTTGCTTTTTTTTCTCTCTTCCTAGGATAAGTTCCCTATTTTGTGTTTTTAATACTGTGTTGTGGCTGGAGGCCTGAAGAGGTACTTTGGTATCTTAAGGTCCTCAGGAAAAAGAATGCACATGGGACAGACATTAATTCCAAAGGCTGAAAGCAGCAAGAAAGCAGCCTGTGTCCTTACTGTTTAACTCTTTTACACAGGTGGTTATCATATATTTACATTCTTGCATGTTGACTACACTAATACATGTATAGTTGTCTACTGCTGAGTCTTTCTTGTATAACTGTTCCCCAGTCTGTGCCTGTGCTAGACAGTGGTGTTGTGTCCCTAAACCAGGACAGAGGCATCTTTCTCTGCCCCTTAATCTTCAAAGCATGAAGCAGTCTATCTGGAGCAGTGCCTCACATGCTGTATTGCCTAATATAAGCAGTAATGTATTACTTTGGTTTCTTCCCCTTTAAAAGACTCTCTCTTAAATCTTACACCACTCTCCTTTCATAGGATGACTTTCAAATTACTTATCTGTTCAAGTAATTTACCACTTTGTATTGGCCCTTATTATTTACCTTCTGTCTTAGGAAGTGGGTAATATTCTAGATGGGTACTAGAAATTGTTTTGGATTTAGAAAGGAAGTAGAAGCATGCCCATAACTGTAATTTAGAATTTACCTGTAATGGAGGATACTTGAAGATTAAGTTGTTTAAATTAGCTGGTATTTAAATGTAAAAGCACTAGATTATCAGTGATTGAATATGTTTACTGCTTTCATATTTATCTTATCCCAAGAACACACACAACCTGTGATATATTTTTTGTGCTTTCACCACTTCAGTTGTGTCATATTCATGACAACATATTCATGTAGAAGACTGTCATTTCAGCACAACCTGGTAACACAAGCTTTGTTTGTTGTTTGGGTTATTTTGGTACCAGGATCGAACTCATGACCTTCCACTTGCTACGTAGGTGCTGTGCCAGCTGAGCTGTATCTGTGACCCACAGCTCCGTTTTTTTCCTGCCTCATTAGTGCTTTTTTATACATTGAACAGATGTCATAGGTTTTGAATGCATTATTTCCAGTGTGTGTTTATGTTTAAATATTTACACTAGATTGTTAGCTTTTTTTAGAAGCAGAGTGTTTTTTTTATCTTGTTCTTGCTAGGAACGGAATGGTTCTAAGTGTATAAAGCAGAGCTGGGTGTGGTGGTGCATTCCTCTAGTCCTAGCCCTCTGTAAGCTTAGCCAGGAGAATCACTGTGAGTTCAAGGCCAGCCAGAGCTACATGGTGAGCTCAAGGTTATCCTGAACTACTTAGTGTCACTTCTCAAACAAACAGACAAACAAATCTATAAAAGAAGTTCTGTAATAGATTGGTTTTGGGGGAGGGTTGGGTTCTGGGGATTCAACCCCGAACCATTGTATTAACCTACGTCTCCAGCCCTTTTTAAATTTTTCTTTCTAGCGAGGGTCCTTGCTAAGTCACCTGTAGCCCAAATGAGTGCTGGGATTATTTTTGAATACTAAAGAAGTACAGAGGCAGATATTTTTGATTTTTTTTTTCTTTTGTGGAGTACAAATTAAGCTGCATCTTAAAAAAATACATGTGAGACACAGGTTCCTCTAGAAGAGCTAATCTCACATTCCTGTTCTTTTGGCCCAGTGCTGAAGATTTGGGTTGATGAGAAATGTTCCTTTATAGGGCCTGGTGTCATTTGATGATGTGTCTGTGGACTTCACCTGGGAGGAGTGGAAGGACCTCAGTGATGCCCAGAGGAACCTCTACAAAGAAGTGATGCTGGAAACCTACAGTAATCTGGTGGCTTTGGGTGAGTGAACCCCTTCCCCTCATAACTCTTGAGTAGCAGTTACTTTCTTTTTGATTAGTAAATGTAGGAACCTTGTTTGAGTTTTAATGCTATGTATTTTTAGCTGTCACATATCATTTGTGCATTTATAGAGTAGAGCATGGCTTTCAATACATGTATATAAGTATGTTGATTAAATCAGGGTAATCGAAAAGTCTTTTGCATATGTATCACTGGTTTGTACTGGAATCAGTGAAATCCTGTCTACTAGTTTTTTGGAATATTCAAATATTGCTAGTTAAATTATACTGTAGAACATTAGAAGTTCTTGCTCCTATCTAGCTACACCTGTGTATGCATTAACCATCTTCTCTCCATCCTGTCCTCTCCCTACATGTTTCCTAGGAGCCACTAACCGATGTTTTATTCTCTGTTTCTCTGAGATTCAGTTTAACTTGCACACAGAAGTGGAAAATATTGCGGTGTTTGTCTTTCTGTGCCTGGCACTTGCTTCACTTAACATAATGAAAGAATTTGCTTCAAATGAAAGAATTTTCCTTGTTTTTAAAAAATGGCTCAGTAATATTTCCATGGGTATACACACCACATTTTATTTTGTTTTGTTTTGTTTGGTACCAGGAATTGAACTCAGGACCTTGCACTTGCCAGACAGGTGCTGTGCCACTGAGCTATACCTCTGGCCCCTTACCATATTTTCTTTATCCATTTATCAGTTGATGGACACCTAGGTTATTTTACAGCATGGATTTTGTAAATAGTGCTACAGTAAATGTGAAAGTACAGATTTCTCTTCAAAACACAGGATTAATTTCCTTTGAGTGAATATATATATGGGATAACTGTTCTGGTTCTTTTGTCCTATATTTTATAGTGGCTATATATTTTACATGTCTACCAATAGTGCAGGAAAGCATTGAATTCTTTGCCTCCTTGCCAGCATTTGTTTTCATTTTGATGATAACTACCCTCATGGCAATGCAATATGTCATGGGTTTGATTTACTTTTCCTTAGTGATTAGGGACATTAAACAGTTGTTTATATAATTCAAGGAAGTCTATATGTCTTCTTTTGAAAACGGTTAATAGACGATTTGTATTTCCCCAATTAATAACTGAGCTCTTGTATCAACTGGAGATGATGGTGCTAACTGTCCGATGACTTATGTTACCCAGTAAAAGAAGACTCGTGACGTGAGGAGAGGCTTATGACCACTCAGTTTATTAAAGGAGCACAGTGTCTTAAATACAGTGACGTTCTATACTAATTGAGAACAAAAGGCATTTATGAAAAAGAAATTCAAAAGATAGTTCAAGGAAAGTATATGTTTCATTTGAGATGATGGTGTTGGGGATAGCTGAGCTGATAGTATTAGGGACAGCATAGGAAACAGTACAGAAAACATTTCCCATAGCCTGTAGCTGGAAAGCCATGGCCTTCCACCAACTTGTGCTATGTTCTATCTTCAGAGTCTTACTAACAGCTGACTCTTTAGGAGACCCATCAGGACAGGCTACATTACAGTCTAGAAGTAAAGTGTGTTATATACACATTTTCAGGGCTGACTCCCACACCATTTGCCCAGGGTCTTTTTAGGGGGCAGAGTACAGAGGATCGAACTCATGACCTCATGTTTGCCGGGCAGGTGCTGTGCCACTGAGCTAAATCCTTGGCTTTTTTGTTTTTCGTTTGTCTTGATCTGGCTAGTACTAGTGATTGAACCCAGGGCCTTGTTCATGATAGTTAATCACTCTACCAGTGAACTACACTCTTAGCTCTTTTTATTTTTGAGATATACTTGCTACATTGTCTAGACTGCTCTTTTTTCTTCTCCAATTTTTTTATTTAAAGAAAGAAAAGAAAAAAAATAGAAAAAAGTAGAGTAATACACAATTCCCCCCAAAAATTAACATCATAAAATCAACTAGTTGATACATTACATATTGTCATCCTAAAAATAGTTGTCAAAGTTACAAAATCAAAGCATAAAAAGTGGCTAGACACTCAAACATTGATAGTGAGAACTCTTCTGTTCATTGATCTGACAGAAATTTAGTAATATGGTCATCTATCTTACACACTATACATACTGTTATATCCTTTATAGCACTTTCCTTCCTTTTCACTTTTACAACATCTATTATACTTTGTGGATCCCATTATTCTGTCATTTTTTAATTTTTTTTTATACTAGAGAGACAATATTTACTAATGTGAGTCTTGTTTATTTCACTAATGAAGATATTCTCAAGTTGCCTCCATTTACCTATAAAGGCCTCAAGATCATCCTTTTTATAGCTGAGTAGTATTCCATTGTGTGAAAATACATTTTTTTTTCATCCACTCTGTGGTTGATGGATATTTTGGTTGTTTCACAAATTGTGCTGCTATGAACATGGCTGCACATATATCACTGTGACATGACCTTTTCAATTTTTCTGGAAAATACCCAGGAGGGGAATAGCTGGATTGAATGGAATTTCCAATTCTAGTTTTTTGAGAAATCTCCATCCTGATTTCCATAATGGCTGCACCAGTCTGCATTCCCACCAACAGTGAAGAAGTGTTCCTTTTCCTCCCCACATCTTCGCCAACATTTGTTATCAGTTGATTTCTTGATGGTGGCCCGTCTTTCTGGGGTGAGATGAAATCTCAGTGCTGTTTTCATTTGCATTTCTTGAATGACCAGTGATAGTGAATATTTCTTCATATATTTATTTGCCATTTGTATATCTTCATCTGAGAACTGTGTGTTGATCTCCAAATGCCCATTTTTGGAGAGGGTCTTTGAATTTGGGGGACTTGATATCTTTCAATTCTTTATATGTTCTGGATATAAGTCCTTTGTCTGAGGGATTGTTGGCTAAAATATCTAGACTGTTCTTAAACTTCAATTTTCCTGCCTTAGGCTCCCTGGCAGCTAGGATTACACATGTGTACCTCCATGTCCAGCTTGCTGTTTTTAATTGAGTTATTTTTCTGTTAGAGTTGAGCTCCTTATATATTCAGAATATTGATCTCTTATTTGATAAATAGCTTATAAATATTTTCTCCCCCTCTGTATAGACTTTTCCATTTATTGATTGTTGGCTATTGGGTGCATGGAGCAAGAGCTGGGTCCTCTGGAGTAAGCAGAGGAACCTCACTGGGTCACATGTTGCAAAGCTGATTTGGGCTACTTAGTGGTGGCTCTGGGTATGCAGAAAGAAACACGGTAAAAGGCCTTTAGTGTGAATATGGCCTTGAGGTGGACCACATATCTTCAAAGCACTTCACCTGGCAGGACAGGCAGAGTAGATTTTAGCATTCATATGAGTAGCAAGGGGTACAAAAGGCCCAGGTGCAGCTCGCCACTCTTCCCATCCCTGCTGGACTGCAGTATCAGAGGTCCTGGAAGGACACTGTACCAACCCACACTTTGGTCAAGGAGTATTTACAACAACTAGTACTACTATTTCTCTTTTTCCTCCTCTTCCTCTTCTTTCTCTTCTTTTTCTTCCTCTTCCTCCTCCCTCCTCTCTTCTCCTTCGGTCCTCCTCATTTCCCTCCCTTCTCCCTGTTGCCTCCCCCATTCCTTATCCTTTGTGTTTCTTTCTTACATCTATTTAATTACATTATTTTTATTCATTAATTGAACTCTAAAACAGGCAAAAAGAACAAGAGATTTTAAAAGTTTAGTTAAAGAAATTGAAAAATGGAAGGTACAGACTGGTGTTGGTTACCTGTAGACTCTATTTAAACAAGGCCTTGAGAAGACCCAACCTGATTGGATAAAAAGAACCCTGTAAGCCCAACCCTGATTGAAAAACCCTCCTAGTGAGCAGTGACTACTTAGAGAACAAAAGGACAGTGCCACACCCCCATACCAAGAGTACATCCAGTAGATTTCTACTTACTTTCTCAAGTTGCCTCCATTTACCTATAAAGGCCTTAAGATCATCCTTTTTTTATAGCAGAGAAAGTGTGCATTCCTAAAAGTAAGCTTTCATGAATTTTTTTTGACAAACCCCCCGTGTTTCAGCACAGTGTGTATGAACACAGGTAGGCAAAACCAAAACAAAACAACAAAACAAAGCCCACACACACATGAAAATACTGAAGTTATATTACTTTCATGAGGTGTTATGAACCCACTGATTATTTTATTTTGTTTTATTGCTATCCTTTTTTGTCTTATTCCATGAATACCTCTGTTGAGTTATTTTTCCTTTGTCCTGTTGTCTTTAAAATATTGTTTCTAACTAGGACTTCATAGGCTGCAAATTGAACAAGGCACAGATGTGCTGCAAGGGACCAGACAGAGACTCATTCTCTACCTGTTCAGTGGCTGGCTGAATAAAGAGAACATCCCTGTCTTAGGACACAGCATTGATCAAAGCAGCAGATACAAGAGTACTTAAAGAGTACTTTTCACGATATCACAGCTATTTTAACTTTAGAACACTTGGCTAAGTATTAGACTTCAAATATTAAGGTGTTTCATGCAGTCTTTGGATGTTGTAGAATTCTGGATTCTGTTTTCTATATAAAGAATTACTTTTTTCTTTATCATTTAGAAGTACTACAATTCCTTTATCTGAATGATATGCTATCTTATATTTACTGTAATAGAATATTTTCTTTTTAAGTGCATGTTAATGATAAATAATGAAAGGGATTATTTTAGGAAATCTTAACCAGTTTCAGTCTCATTATTTCCCTCTGCCATTCCCTCCTCCAGCTTGTCCTTGACCCTGTCTCTGAAAGTCTTATCTCCTGCCCTTTTTCCTTAAATGTTTATTTATTAACTTATATTTTAGATTTCTCATATAAAAGAAAATGTGATATTTGACATTCATAATCTGGCTAACTTCACTTAACATATTGGTTTCTAGTTCCATTGATTTTCCTGCAGATAAAATGATACTATTTTTCTGTATGGCTGTAATGCTCTATTGTATGTATATACTATGTTTTCTTTATTCAGCTGTTGACTGGCATCTAGACTGTTTCCATAGCATAGTTGTTATGAATTGCACTGATATAATAAACATGGGCATGGATGTATACATTTAGTATGTATGTAGTCCTGAATTCTTTCAAGAATATGCTCAAGACTGGTATAGCTAAGTCTAGATCAGTCATACTTTTGATGTTTAGTCTTTTGAGGAATTTCCATACCCTATTGTCATAGTTTTTGTATTAGTTTACATTTCTACCAACAGTGTGATTTGATTAATTTTCAGGCTTATGTTTATTATTTTTTTTTTCTACTGGTTTTCTAGGGGTCCTGCTTTTCTAGGATCTCAAGAAGCAGCATTAGTTTATTTGGACTTGTTCTATTTGTCTAATGTAGGCACTCGTACTATAAACTTTCCTTTTAGAATTGGCTTTCATTTGTGCCACAGAGGCTCTGTAGTGCCTCAAATATATTTGCACGTTGGTGCACAAATGCTTCTAAGAGACAGAATGAGAACCAAAATTGATATGTACCAAATTGTTTTTCCTGGAATTGGTACTGAGTCAGGAAGCAATTGACCCTGACAAGTTCAAGCTTGTATATCCAGTACCAAACAATTGAGTACTAAGAGAAAAGTTTTTTTTTTTTAACCAAAATAACATTGAGTACCAAATTTGATGGGATTCAAAGCATTTGGGTACCATAGTATGACTGTATCATTTGTTTCTAGAAGTACTAATTTCTCCCTTGATGTTTTTAGTGGCCCATTGATTAAAAGTATATTATTCAACTTAATGTGCTTTGTGTAGTTGCTGTGGCTTTTGCTGATTTTTTTCCTTTCATTCCATTTTGATGTGATAAAGTGTAAGAAGTTATTTTCAGTTTTGGTATACATTGAGACTTGTTTTACAGTATAGAAGGTAGTATATTTTGGAGACCATCCATGATATCCTAGAATAGAATGCATTCTAATGATATTGAGTGTAACATTCTGTAGACTAAAATTGAGTGTTTTATTGACTTACTGAGGTTTTCATTTCTAGGATTTCTGATTGGTTATTGTCTACATTTTCTGTTGTTCTACTGACACCATCTTTCACATCTTGCATTGTCTTCTTTAATTCAGACAGCTGATTTGTAACTTATTTGAGCCCATTTATTATTCTAGTAATTGCTTCATCTATCTGTCTTTTTTTAACCTCATTTATCATTTTATCTATCAGTTTTTATAATTCTTCATCTAATTTGATGCATTTCATTATCTGTGTGATCATCCTTTTGGGATTTATTTATGTCTCATATTATTTCCTATGAGCAGGACACTGCAGTATCAAACCTGATGTGATCTTCAAGTTGGAGCAAGGATCTGGGCCATGTGTGTTAGGAGAAGCCCTAAGGCAGTGCCTACCAGGTCAGTTGATACACACTGGGCAGGGATATTAGCCCAGAAGAGCTGTTTGCACTATTTTTCCTCATGTACCAGAGGCTGGTATTGTTACTTTATAGGCTTGCCTTCTACAGCTTAGAAGAAAGGCTTTCATGTATAAATCTTATTTCCTTTTTTTTGTTGTTCATGTATATTTTGTTAGATTTGTCAAAAAGCCAACTCTTATATGGATATTACACATTTTTCTTCAATCCTTTCTCTGAGTTCTTGGACCTTCCATGTTCATATACTAATTTTTACCTCTCAGGTAAATGTGTTCTTTCAACATTTGCGTTTTGATTACCTCACAGACCCTGGTAAAATCACCAGCGTGAGGATTAATATATACTAATTATACAATGCATTTTGTTGAAAGATAATGTAGAACCAACTTACAGTGCTGAGTTGTTAGATGAAAGTCACAAAGAATGTTTTATTAGGATAAGATAAAGAATAGGATATGGCATTTTATTTTAGGAATGATTTCTAATGTGTAGCCTGCATTATAAAAATTGTTTAGTAAAAATTTTTAGAAAATGATACATTGTTATTTTTAATACATTAACTAAATTACATATTTTATGTGTGACCCAGGACAACTTCCTTTTGCTTAGAAATTGTGATGTGGGGGGAAGTGAGCCACAAATTGGACAGATTTAGAAGGGGGAAGCAGTTTTTAAGATGATGATTTTAATTTTCAGATGTACATATTTCTAAATATAGCATATATACACAGGTGAATATAAAATCAAGAGTCATAAATGATCATGAGTATAATGGAGATACAAATTGGAAAATTAGAAGCCTAATGTGAATATTTAAATCATAGTTATTTAAGCAGTCACTAGGAAATTGATAAGAAAACAAGAAAGGAATCACAGTATGAAGCCCAGGATATGACAGCATCAGAATTTAAGCAAATAAAAGGAGTACCTAGCAATATGTGCATGGAGAGGGTGGGGATTCTGAACTTGTAGGCCAGTCAGAAGATCTTGGGTAAGAGGGACAAGTGAACAAAGGATTTCATGTTATAGGGCTGTAATTTCTCTTCAGGAATGAAATTCATAGTTAGGTTGTATACTTTTTTATGTGAAAGACATTGAGAAATGATGGATTGCATAAGAAACCTATTTTCTATCCGAGTACAAGAAAGTTGAACTTGTTAATACCAAAGTCATCTGAAACAGCTGTTCTTAAGCAGGCATACATGTGCCAGGAACCATGGGAATTTGTCCAAGAAGTATCCAGAAAAATATATTACAACAATAGTATGTACATTTTAATGGCAGAACCAAGTAATTTAGTCTAACAGGAAGATAGTCTTAGCTTTTTGAACCTTTATGGTTCTGAGAATCATAAGTTTAATTAGATTAAGGATTTGGAGGAAGTTTGTCTTCTTGTGTGGGAAGAAAGATAATTTACACTTAGGGAAAAGTGAAAAAAAAACAGATATAAATACATTTCTTAAATTGTATTTCTGCTAAGAGTGAAGTCAACCAAGACTGAATATTACAAATAATGAATCCAAGCAAACTTTGCCATTATAAATCTGAAAGACAAGCAAACTAGGATGAGATTATACAAACAGTTGTTTTAAGAAAGCAGTGTGGGAAAAGTATAGAGAAAACATCACAGATAAGAATCATGTGGAAACCTACAGTTAGGCATTAGGTGAATATCCTAACTACCTCCCCATACCTCCCTTCTACATACCTCCCCATAATTCAGAATAATAAAAACAATGTGATATGATTTGATATTGTAGTCTTTTAATATAATTTCTTGGATTTGTTGGGTATGAAATGTACACATCATAAATCAAATTAATTTGAGATCTTATGTCATTAGGATGTGGCAGTTCTTTACTGTTGTTTGAATTCCATAAGAAATACTTACGTTTCATGGAGTTTACTATTTTTATATCATTTTAGATGTCCAGAAATTAACTAGTCATATTCAGACAGCCCATGAAAATCAAGAGAAGCATTTTTGGCAAGTTATAACCACATCATCTGAGGAGAAGGTTGAAATGGGAAAACCATTTAATGTGAACTCAAACTATATTTCAGTTTTGAATGTAAAGAACAGAAACTATGCAAAAGTGAAGCCTGAGGAACTTAATATATGGCAAAGTGTGTTTCTCCCTGATGATCCACATGAGATGCAGACTGGAGAGGAGCCTTTTGATCTTACTGTAACTGGCAATTCCTTCCGACTTCCTGAAGATCTTAATCTGCAAAATAAAGTTCAAAGTGTGCAAAAGCATTTTCAATATTGTGGACAAGGGAAACCCTTAAACATGAAAGCAGTATTGACACATAAAAGGATTCACGTGGGAGAGGCTTTCAATAAATTCAATGAATATGGGAAAGACTTTGAAAAGGTAGCATTAATTTCTGAAGAGATGACTCAAGTAAGGGAGAAATCAGTTGAATATAATGTTTGTCATGCAGCATTATATAAAAGGGCTAAACTCATTAACTGTGAGAAAATACAAAAAGGACAGAAGTATTATGAATGTAGTGACTTGGGAGAATCTTTCATTAGCAAATTATATGTTGAAAAATACCAGAGAACACATGAAGAGGAAGAGACCTATAGATGTAATGAACATGAGAGGTTCTTCTGTCAAAAAACGCATCACAGAATCAACAGAGAAGCAAAACTCTATGAAGATTATGAATGTGGAAAAAACTTTAACCAGAAGCAAAACTTTAGCAGGCGCCAGAAAAGTCACACAAATGAGAAGCCATATGAATGTAATATGTGTGAAAAAGCCTTTTACCGGAAGTCACACCTCAACAGGCATCAGAGAATTCATACTGGTGAGAAACCTTATGAATGTGAAGAATGTAGGAAAACTTTCTACCATAAATCATCTCTTATTATACATCAGAGAACACATACAGGTGAGAAGCCTTATGACTGTACAAAATGTAAGAAAGCTTTCTACTGTAAATCAGACCTTACAATACATCAGAGAACTCACACAGGTGAGAAACCATATGAATGTGAAGAATGTAGGAAAACTTTTTACTCTAAGTCACACCTCACAATACATCAGGGCATTCATACAGGTGGCAAACCATATGCATGTGAAGAGTGCAGGAAAACATTCAACCGTAAGTCTAACCTCACTGTACATAAGAGAACTCATACAGGTGAGAAACCCTATGCATGTAATATATGTGGAAAATCCTTTTACCGGAAGTCACACCTTAGTACACACCAGGGAACACACAGAGGTGAGAAACCATATGAATGTAAAGAGTGTAAAAAAACATTCAATCATAAGGCAGCCCTCACTGTACATCAGGGAACACACACAGGAAACAAACCATATGCATGTGGAGAATGCAAAAAAACTTTCCTCCATAAGTCATCTCTCACTGTGCATCAGAGAAGTCACACAGGTAACAAACCTTTTGCATGCGAAGAATGTAGTAAGGCTTTCTACTGTAAGTCACACCTCACTGTACACCAGAGAACTCATACAGGTGAGAAGCCCTATGAATGTCAAGAATGTGAGAAATCGTTTCACCAGAAGTCATATCTCAGCAGGCATCTGCTAACACATGAAACAGAAAAACGATTTGAATGTAAACAATGTGGAAAAACTTTCTACCATAAAGCATCCCTCATTATACATCAGAGAACTCACACAGGTGAGAAACCATATGAATGTCAGCAGTGTGAAAAAGCATTTCACAAGAAATCAAACCTCACCAGGCATCAGATAACTCATGAAAGTGAGAAACAATTAGAAAGTAAAAAATGTAAGAAAGCTTTTTTCCATAAGTCATCCTTCATTGTACATCAGAGGACTCATAGAAGAAATCCTGTGAATATAATCAATGTGAGAAATTTACTGGAAGCCAACCCAACAGAACATCAGAGAATTGACACAGAAGACAACCTGAAAATACAATGAATATGAGTTTTTTGTGAGAAGGCACATTCACTGGCATCAAGGAGCATACATGCAGTAGTCTTCTGTAGCAGAGACTGGCTATATGTCTTTCAAGATTTATTTTCTATGGGATACACAGCTTGCATTTTTTAGCTTCTGGTACTGTGTTTTGAACCATATACTGAAACTATACAGTAGAATGTGGATACTTCATGCCTAGCCCCCACAAAGTCTATTACATTCTTGTTTTTTCTCCTTGGATCCTTACATATACTTTGGGCCTGAAACAAATTTGGCTACCGAGGCTGGTGTTGAGAGCCATAGGTCACTGTGTTTAAGAAAAACAGTTGATCCGAAAGGGCAGACTTCTTACCTTTATCCCTATAAATTCCCGTGTAGTTCATGAGTGAAAAGTACTCTTGCACGATTGTGTTTTTTCTGTTTGTATTATAGTGTAAACCTACAATGGCTAATTCACTTTGTAAGCTTTCGGATGTTTCCTGTCCTTTGGTACTGCAGAATTTACACAAGAGAGACCTAACACCTTTCATTTTCAAGTTAATTTATGGAAAACAAATGCATGTGTTGACAAATTGTAGCAAATGGCGAATAGGTTTGGTAGGCAGGAAAATGTCATTGAACAATTTGAATAAAGCTGATATTCATAAATTTGTTTCCCAACAAAACTTCAAATTATGTTAGATATTAATTATGAAGGAAGGATAACTGTCAATTCAGATAATATAAATGTTGAGTTTTAAAATGGAAATTTTAGTATTGGAAATCATTTAAAAATATTTCATTATATACCAGTATATCAATATGAATGATAGTATTTTCTGTTAAGAATACACTGGACATACGTGATTGGTGCTGTTGGGGGGGCCATTGCTATTGCCACCTAGTAGAGGCCAGACATGCATGCAGGTTCAACTGCCTACAGTGCACAAAATATCCCATAAAATTGTAGTGTTTTGTATTAACATACTTTCCCTGTTGGGACCCAGTATAACTGTGCAGAGCATATGTATAATTTTTGTAATATGGGTTGAGAGTACACCTCAATGGTAGAGTATATGCTTACCATGCATGAGGACCCATTTTTAATCCTCAGCATAAACAAGTCAAATAAATATTGGTTTAAATGCCATTATAGACTATTTATATTTTGTTATATACTGTCTAAGATATATACTATGTTTTGCTTCCTTTTTGCCAAATATTTGTAAATGTGTATGGACATTGTCATAAGAAATGTCTTGTAAGGAGTAAAGATTTCTTGTAATGTATAAACTTAACAATCATTGATATGAAATATACAAATCTGGCATGTAATTGTTCATTGCTGAAATCTGAGCTAATTTATTCAACAGTGAATGTCCTTAATGAAAAGCAGTCCCTAAAAGAATATTTCCCTTTTTATCCTGTTTGACACTTTTGAATAGGACCGCAGAATAGGTATCATACTGTAGACTGAATGCTGTCTAACTGGTAAGTATATATATTTCTCTTTCCTATGATAGAGCACTGTGACTGTACCTCCCCAGTAATGTACCTCCCCAGTAAATTGACAGCATCCAGTGACTTCAGATCAGACCTCACTGGGGTTCCCTTTCTTTACATGAAAAGAGAGCATATTAATGGACCCTGACACAAAGCATTATTATAATCAGTAAATTAGTGTTTTGGATAGTACCTGGCATGCGGTAAGCTGCTACAATGATGGCCATTATCACAGTTGACGAAATTGCTCTTAATTAGTAGGCTGCAACAGAATGTTATTTGGCAGCACAACAGTCATTTCACTTTTTATCTATATTGATTTGATCTTGTCTCCCAATTCTACAGTTATTCATTGTTTTATCATGACTGAGTTTTTAAATAATTACTTGTTATATTAGTCTTTAGTAGTTGTTTTGGACTGAGCCAGTGAGCCACTTCTGTACATTGATACACTAAGGATTTTATTACATGACTGGGAATGTTGCTGCAAAGAAAGAGACATGAAAGAGATGGCTCTTCTGCTGCGAGATACTGGTCTTTGTGGATGTGTCTTCTGGTTCCATGTGTCACAGGTACCACATTGGCAAGGCAAAAAGTTGTAGAACAGAATATATGTGTTGTATTAAAATCTCCAACTCAGGAGCCTTTGTTTGGAAGGTCATTAAAGAGAGTATCAGGTTTCTATTTGTCAATTTGTCCATAAAGCCAAGACCACCATCTTAACTGTAAGATAACATTCCAGTTTCTGTGAGTTATGAGGTCTCTTCCACCTGCACTATTACCACCAGAGGGAGCTCCACTAATCCTAGTGTCTGGCAGTTCATCTCAGAATTGCTAATTGCAAGGTAAAAATTTTAACTATCAGTTTGTACACTAATTCACAAGGAAAAAACCGTTAGCTTTAAACATTTCATAGAAAAAATAGGCCAGAACATATCTTTATTAATCAAGAGTTGATTATAAGTTTTTGTTTTGTTTTGGTACCAGGAATTGAATTTGGGATCTTGCACTTGTCAGGCAGGCGTTTATGTCACTGAGCTATGTGCCCAGCCAAGAGGATTAAAGTAAAAATATTTTTCTTAGAGGCATAACCAAATACATAACTCATTCTTTTTTTGTTGCTGAGACGAAATGCCTGGCAATCACAAGTTAAAGGTGGAAACTTTTACTTCAGCTCACAGTGTAGTGGTTGTAGTCCATAGTTGGCTGGCTTCAGTGCAGGGCAGCATGGAAGAGCATCACAGGTGAAACAGTCTATGGTAGTAGAGCTGCCAGGAAGCAGCAAGCAGCCTGCTTGTTTCTGCCCCTTTACAGTCTGTCCATGCTACAAGCCTGTTGATTGGTGCCATCCACAGCCATAGTGGGGTTTCCATTATCCACGCCCAAAACTGCTCAACCAACTTAAATCACATCCCTGTAATTTGCATTCCAAAAAAAACTACCTGAGGGCTTGGCGTGTTGACATCTGGATTCAACCCGTAAGAGATAAGAGAGTGGTTAATCTTAGTTTTATAGAAGTTGTAAATATATTCGTAATAACTCAGCTTAGGCTACAGTTAAAATTAGTAACTTAAAGTGTGTAATCATTGTGGGAAATGACTGTTCATTAGTTAGAATGTGAATGATGTCCAGGAAATAAAAATAATAAAAGTTAAAACCAGATCAGTACACTAAATGGCATAGAATCATCAGTAGCCAGTGTGTAGCATTAAAGCAGAATGTCCCAAATATATTGTCACTGCCTGGGAATGGTTGGGGAGGAACATGAAGCAAGGGAACCTGATGATGCCCGCCTGCACAGTTCTGGGCACCGTGGCCCACGTTCCCCAGTCTTGACCTGCCCCCAACACCACACCCTGCACCACCAGGGCAGAACACCACGACACAGAGACTCCCCCAACAACCTCCGACAACCCCAGTGATGTCACCCACCCACCAACCAGCCGGGCAAAGCAAACGCAGCCTCCCCTTTCTTCCCTTGTCCTCCTGACTCTGTGCCACTCCCCCAAAAAGGAGGGTAAGGGGAGAGAGCGAGGCCAGGGGAGTGGGGGAAAAGAGGCAAGCTGGAGGAGGAGGTGGAGGAGCAGGAGCAGGAAAGCCGAGGGAATGAAGGAGGAGAGAGAGCCAGTGAGGGGGAATGCGCCCCACAGCAGTGGCGGTGGAGGTGGGGGGTAGACAAGGGTGACATGGGGAGTAGGAGACAGGGCGAGCCAGGAGGGCATGGAGCCAGATGAACACTGGGTTCGAACCAATTACCCCCTGCTGAGTGGCAGTGTGGGGGCGATGACAGGTTAGAGTAAGGGACTGGCCAGGGGGCGGTGTCACCCTGAGCCTCGACCCACCCCAGAACACAGCCCTCCCTGACATCAACACCTTAGGAACCACTCTGGCTCGCCCCTTCTCTTCCGAACACTGCTCCCTCTCGAGGGCAGCAGGCAATGGTGGCACCACACCACATGACGCCGGGCCCTCCCAGCCCCCATGCATGCGGACTGATGATGGGGTTCGGGGTGAGCTCTGAGCTGGCAAGGCCAGGCAGGCATGCGCCAACTGGGTCTGCACTTAAGGGGCAGGAGGGCACCAACCCAGGCCATGCGAGGAAAACCCCAGCCGTGCAACCCCAGGGGACAACCTGGGGGTCACAATTGATCAGCAAGCAAAATTCAGACAGGCGTAGCACGGGGAGGAACCCGGGGAAGCAAGTGCATTCAAAGTGTAAATGATCAATGTGTCCTGCAATTCACAATTCTCACAGCTAGTTGTGTTCTTCATTGATGCAAGAGCCAAGTGATGCACCGCTAAGAGTCGTATGTGAGGACACTTCCCCCCACGCGCGAGGCGGATGAGGTCACCTCAGGCCCGCCAGCAGGAAGGAACTGACGACTCCAGAAAGTCCGAGTGGGTCATGAGAGCCTATTTTCACGTGCAGAAGTGGCTTTTTGGCAATCCACCGAGCCTGGTGCCACAGCCTGCAGTGGAGAGGACGAGCACACGGGACGGGAGGACCAAACCCACAGGCACCCGGGGGGCTCCCACCATCTTCCCCCCTCATCAGAAAAGGAGGGCCTGTGCCCAACACCAACATGGCCTGGACAACCGGCCGGGTATACCCTCGAACCTGGCTAGGCCGCCCGGAGATGGCGGCGGCATGCTGTGCCCTGGCCCAAACAGCGGAGAGGCAGGCGGGGAAGGGGAAAGAGTATTCGCTTGGGGGCAAGGACAGAGGCGGGGGGGGGGGGGGGGGCGGGAGAAGAGACACAGTGGCATGGGGGGACAGCACCCCCAACATGCTGACTTCTTGCGCCCATGTTCTCCCCAACACGGCCCCCATGAGCCCCCAGCGCGACCCAGCTGCCCAGCCCCCAGGGCCAGCAGGGTGACCACCCCCCAAGGGATCTTTAGACTTCGGTGCTGGGATGCGCTAGGTACCTGGAGAGGGAGGGCAGACGCACAAACGAACAGTCACAGGCAGAAGAGGGAGTGGGAAGGTGGCCGTGGTGGCAGGGTGGGGAGGAAGAGCCGGACAGCGGGGAGCCGGCCTGCTAGTCAGCCGCCCTCCTCCCCCCAACTTCCCGTGGGCAGTTCTGAGCGAGTGCTCCAGAGGCTGGGTGGCCTGGGGTGAGTTTCCTTTGCACCATCCCCCCTACCCTGCTAGCTTGGGACACTCACATGGCCCCGGACAAGGAACTGCATGGCTTCCTGTTGCACGGGACCAGGGCGGCGGTCCTGAGCCCGCCTGCAACGGCCTTGCCACTATGTCGTGCTTGACGGACTCTGGAGTTCTGAGCGAGCGGGCGCCATCAGATGACCAGCAGGAGAAGAGACACATTGGTGTCGGGCCCAGTTCCACCCGAGTGAGGGTCCCAAGCTAGCTGGGCTTGAGGGATGCCCAGCTTCTGGAACCGATGGCGCCCGCTCGCAAATCTGGTGACTGGACAAATCCTGTCTCAAAATTTAAAAAAAAAAAAAAAAAAGGCCTGGAGATGCAGCTCAGTGTGAAGGCCCTGGGTTCAAACGATAGTACCATGCAAAAAAATTATTTTCAAATATATAGGTCGTTATCTGTATTCCTGTTCCTAGCCTTGCTTTGGTAGTTGTGTTAACAATAAAGCCATCTTTGCCCTCAGAAAGGATCAGCAACAGTTCATGCTCAGTGGGTTTCTTTCTGCTCTTTTTATTAACTCCAGTTACTTCCAATGTAAAAGCTTTTAGGAGGCTCCTTTTCAAAACTTTTGAAGAATGTCTTTGGAATTAGAATAAATTAACTCCAGTTAAACCTAATCTCTGACAACAGAATAGAAGTCATGCTCAGCAAATACAAGAAGTTAATTCTGGCTAGTGCCCTAACCCCATCCTAGAGCATCCACTGCCCATACTGCCCAAAAAGGGTAGAGTAGAAGGCCTCTCCTTTTCCTGCCCCACTCCCAGCAGCATTAAAACCTTGTTCCTGTAGCACTGTCTTGTGCTAAAAGTGCTGTAAAAGGGATGTTGGGGTGAGGGGGCAAGATCTATAGTCACACTCTGAATAGAAGGGACACAGAAGTGCTTCTAACTGGTACAAGGGAGTACATTGTACACTTCTGCCAGCATTATTCTGTCTGCTTCTGAAGGTCATAAACTTCCCAAGGAGCTGTCTCCATGTGTAGAAAGGATAAGAGCTATGGTCCTTGGGAGAACGGATGTGGTTGTTCTATACATGGAAGTAAGGCTTAACATGGGTGTAGCAATGTGCTACCTTGAAAGTAGCCAACTATGGAGTGACAGAAGACAAATTGAGTGGAGACACTCTGCGTGTGGGAGTGTTGTTAGCAGACAGTGAGGCAGGGAGGAAAAAGGGAGCAGGCATCTCAGTTGTAGGAGTCTCTCCTTGGTTCCGCAGCTGTAGAATTTGCCGAAGCAAGGCCTTTCCTTCTTCTCGGGTCTGAAACAAGTCAGGCAACTGTTTCAAAATATGTACAAGGCAATTCTCAAAAACAGGTTAAGGTACTGATAATATGTAAGTTCCATAGGCTTTCCACTGACATTCTTATCTACTTTCTACCTACACTTCATGGAAAACAGCATATATTTAGCCTAAAATCCAAACCCTTTTCTAAAGAAGTGATACTTACATCATTAAAAGCACAACACTTTTGGGCACAAGTTGAAGCTTCATCCCACAGCTTGCACTTAAAATAGTACTGGGCCAGATAGCGGAAAGCTGTGCTTTCCTCCAAGTGTTCCACTATTTCCTAAATAAAGAAAAGAGGATTGACTGAGATGGTAAGAATAAGACCTCCAAAAAATAAGGCCTCCATAAGAATAAGACCAATATGGGGCAGGGATTTACTAAGTGGTTCAAGCACTTGCCTGGTAATATGAGTTTATGAGTTTAATTCTAGGTACCAAAAAAAAAGACTAGTAAGAACAAGACCAAGACTCATACCCCACAGGAATAGATATCTTGGATATATTTGATGTAACACTGGGCAGCCTGCTCTGATTCAGTCAACTGTTCATGAAGCCTACAAAAGAAATTGGACATTAAATACAAATCAAAACTCAAAGCAAATTAGTAATTAAAAAATAAAAACACATTAAGTCCAAAAGAACTGAAAATAGACAAGTACAAATTTTGACATAAATAACACGATGGGAACCAAGAGTATTAATGCCCACCACAGTTATGGTCACTGTTGTAGTTTAGAACAAAGAGCAGAGAGTATAGCTCAATGGCAGAGTAACTGTCTATTAGCCTGAACTACACAGCAAGACCCTGTCTCAATTAATTAAAGAATCAACCAACTAACCAAGAAACAAATAAATAAATATAAATTCAGAAAAGAACTGGCAGGAAGGAAATTGCATTAAGAAGTTTTTTTTTGTTTCATTTCTTGTCCTTTTGAGACAGGGTTTCGCCGTGCAGTTCAGGCTGGTCTTGGGCTCACTTTGTAGCCCAGGCTGGTCTTGCAATGATCCTCCTGCCTCAGCCTCCTGAGTGCTAGGATTACAGGATTATGCCACCATTGAAGGATTATGCATTAAGAATTTGTTGCCCACTATTTCTGAACTATTTCTATTTTAGTAAGTTTTTGACCCTTATTGAAGTACCTAAAGTAGTTTTCCTAGACTGCTCTAACATAAAAATTTATTTCCCATACATATAATCCTAACTACTCAGGAGGCTGAGACAAGGATTTCAGGTTTAAGGACAGCCTGCCCACGAACTGAGCAAGACTTATTTCAAAAGGAAATATAAATAGCTGCAGTTTAACTCAGTGTAAGGTAACATGGTACTGTATTTTTTTCTTTTTCTTTTTTTGATGGCAGCACGAGGGATAAAACATGGGGCCTTATAATTCCAGGCAAGTATTCCACCACTGTGATATACTCATAGCCCATTTCTTTCTTTCTTTCTTTTTTTCAATTCTTGATCCTCTACCTAAAAGGAAAGCTAGTCCCACTTTGAAGACAAGTGGCATTCTCTAGAGTTAAGATGGATAAATTCCCAGACCAGCATTCACACATCCTTCCATATTTCCACAACCAAGTGTAAGGATGAGTGATTCTAGAGCGTGCAGGACCCACCAGCCTGGAGCAGCCAAGAGAAAATCAATAGCACTTCCTTCCTTTCACTCACTTTGCCAGCTTCACCAGAGCCATTTTCTCCACATCTCCCACAGCGTAAGCTCTCCAATAACACTGT